TAGGTGACTGCATTTGTTGCCTTTGAAGATTACACAGGGTTCCAAGTCCCTTCCCTTCCTCTGCTTCCTGCCATGAGGTGAACAACCTCTTCATTCCACACACGGTGTCACGCCCAAGTGCATGGGGACAAGTGACCATGGATCAACTCCTTTGAGACTGTGAGCCCAAATAAATCTTTCTTCTTGTAAACTGTTCCTGTCAGGCATTCTGTCCCAGCTGTGCGACAGTAACAAATAGTCTCCCTGCCTTCTCCTGTCTGCTTTGAGGGGAGTCCCTGAGTGTACTCGTCCATCAGCCAAGGCCAATAATCATAAAGTGACGGGCACAGTGGTCCTTGGTCATAGGCCCCATCTCCAGATGTCCAGGGGAGAACAGCTGTCTTTAGTCCAGGAAATGGAATCCCTCTTCCAGGGGAGAAGGAGAAGGCTAACGTGAAAGGGACAGAGAAGGGAGGGTAGAGGAAAGGAAGGGAAGAGAAAAGGGAAGAAGAGTAAGATAAAGGGGGGCAGAAGCGAGAGACCTATGATAGGTAGGACACTGCCCCCCAAAGATCCGCCCAGCATCAAACTCTTCTTAATAGTGGATGAGACTGTATTTGGAAATAGTCTCTGTAGATATAATTAAGTTAAGGCTCTCAAGACGTGACTACTCTGGATTTAGGGTGGGCATGAACCCAATGACAGGTACCCTTCAGAAGAGGAGGGACTCTCTGTCTCTGTCCCCCCTCTACATGTGCATGTGTGTGCATGCACACACGCACACATACAAACACACACATAAATACACACACACACATACATACATACACACACACACACACACACACACACACACACATACACAAAGGAGGGAGGACTCCCGTGACTGTGGAGACACGTGTCGGAAGCGTTGGCAGATGGGAGAGAGGTCAGGAAGCTAACCAGAGGGAGGAGGAGAAGAGAGAGAAGCATGGGGGAGACATGGCTTGCGAAGACTGGAGGCTCAGCGTATCTGAAGGGGGAAAGGTTAGAAGCACACACCTTGTGGGTAGAAAGAGAGCGTCTGAGAGGGATCAGGATTGATGCAGAGACAAGCAGGGCAGGCATGTGTAGGATCTTGTATATCCCAGTAACGAGTTAGGGGCAGAAGCTGAGCAGCTATAACATGAGAACCAGTGCACCTACTGTCTTCTTTTTTTTTTTAAATAAAGTTTTATTAGAATGCCAATATGCCTATGTTTTTCACATTGTTTATAGGTGTTTTCAAACTCTATAGTAGAGTAATTGTTACAGAGACCATCAGTAAAGATTAAATTACAGTATTATCCTTTGCAGGAAAAACAATTTTGCTGATCCTTGCTGTAGGGTATTCCTCAAACACACAGAATGTCATTCTGACCCTAGCCAGCTCTATCAGACAAGACGGGCAGAGCTTGGCTCTGCTCCATGGTGAATTTGGTAAAAGCTCTCTTGGTGGCTGACCACAGCCATATGTGGGCAGTCACTGCCTCTGATTTTATTCCCCTTTACCTCCTTAGTTGGCTTCCTGCTCAGGGACACACTTCTTCACAGAGGTAGACAAACAGCTCATGAGCAGGGGAAGGAATGCAAGAATATTTCTCAGAGGCTGGCAATTTACACAGGCCTTCCCCACTGACTAGTCTCTTCTGAGCTCGCCATTTCCCCTGGGGCTAGGATTTCAGAGGCTCACCAGTGGGATAGGTAGAGATGACATATTCCTTTTCAGGCTGAGTCTCCAGTATTGAGAGAGACTTCCTCTTGATTGGTTTCCCTTGGCTTTGGAAGGTCCCTGGATATCAGGCAGCTAGCCCCTCCCAAGAGGAATAAGTAGGCAGTTGGGTTCAATATCCTTTCACATAGGGAGACATGTTTAGATGTTTCTACTGATTTGAGATCTGAAAGGGTCCAACCCATTCATCATGAGGGTCCCCATGGGAATGAGAAGATGGGGAATGGACCCTCGCCCTTGCTAGGAAGTCAAGATGGGCAGTACCCAAAATTGGCCTGGGAGCCTGAATGACAGGCCTGGTTCTGCTCCTCATGAACTTTAGATTTGATAACCCCATTTTACCTCTTGGAGCCCCAGCCTCCTCAAAGAAGGCCCTGGACAACCAGATTCATCTGTGTGGCCTTTCCTTGAGCTAGTGTCACCATCTTGGACACGGGACCTGAAATACCACAGCTAACCCAAGCTCCTTGGTGGTGGCAGTGGTGGGGTTGGTGACTTTTGTGGAGCCATGGCTATACAACCAGACAAGTGGAGAAATCCATCTGGCTCGTAGTTTCGGAGGTCTGTAGCACCCTGTGGCAGGGGAGGCAGGGGGTGTGACATCAGGGGCTGTTCACGTCATCATTGGCTAGGCGCAGAGCGAGAAAGGAACTTGGGGCCAAAGTATATCCTTCAGAAACCCACTCTTAGTGGCATAATTCTTCTGGCGTGTCCTCATTTCCTAAAGGTCCCGTAGTTTCTCAAAATAGTGTCACTAGCTGGGGAACAAGAACTCAGAACATGAACCTGTGGCAAGGTTTCGGATTCAAACCATCTCTGGAGGTTCTATCTACCAGCACTCCATGGAGTCCTGTCCATGTAAAATGCCACAGTGAGGGAGGGACCTGCAGCTCTGATGCTATTCTTGGATGCTTCCCTCCTTGGGTGGGTGGGTGGGGTTACGTCCCAGATGAGGGATGGAATGCAAGTCTAAGGACACTGGCCAGCAGTTGAATTTGGGGCTCCTCAGATGGCAGAGAGGGGCAAGGGTGGCTGACAGGGTTTGCTTGCTAGCCACCCGCTCCTTTCCACCTGTGGCTGGACGTTCTGCACAGAGGAAGTCTCTGCTAGGGAAAATGACTGTCACGGACTTCTCTATGTTTTCCAACAAATAGTTTATTGTTGAATCAGTCAAGGTGAGTGAGAGCTTGGAAGAACTTTATGGAAATCTAGCTCTGCTCTTTCATGCTACCATTGAGGAAACTGAGGCCCAGAGGGAGAAGCGATTTGCTGAAAGTCCTCTGGTGCCGTCTGGGCTTAGTGGTCAGTGTCTTGAGCCCCTCCCTGCGTACCTAGCCCTGCGTACCCAGCCCTGCGTACCCAGCCCTGCGTACCCCTCCCTGCGAACCCCTCCCTGCGTACCTAGCCCTGCGTACCCAGCCCTGCGTACCCCTCCCTGCGTACTCAGCGTATCCCACAGACATCCGCAGGCCCCCTCTGTACCTGCTGCCACACTGGCATCCTGTTTGCACTGTGCCTGCTTCAGCTTCCCTCGTCCTTACTTTTTGTTTTGCTCACATGCACACATTTGGAGAGAGATCCTTCTGCCCTGACACTACTGGCTAACCAGCACTTTTGACACCATCAGAAGCTAGGCTGGGAGTAACTCCAGAACTATTGATTTAGAGACTTTTCATCTGAGAGCCTCTAAAGTCATAAAGTGCCAGACGGACCTGCTCCAAGGGCTGGGAAAACTGAATGTTTGCAGGAGGGCCATAGGGAGTTAAATTATGACCAGAAATAGCTTCCCATGCATGACCTTAGGCCTCCAGTGCTCAATGCTAGTGTTAAAACTGCCTATGCAGTTTGTACGGGTGATTTCTATCCTTTTATGGGGGGGGTTGCCTTCTCCCAAGGGAGGCTTACACATATGATCATGAACTAGAACGAGGGAGAAAGCGCTGTGAGGCCTTGGGGCACCCTCCAATGCTGCGGCTGTTATTTTGGCTAGCACTTTCTGATGTCTGCTCTGGCGTTAGTAGGAATATACACGTGGAACACGCTAGACTCTTCAACGGCAGCCTAGAAAGAGCAGTCTCTTTTCAGCTAGCGGTAGCAGTAGCACCGTCTCTCACTGTGATGGGGAATGTGGTATTCATTTATACAGTTGCACCAGGAGAGACCCAGGTTAAAGCCCCTGCGAACTGGCTTCTGTGAGTTCTCAACTGACTGGGAGGCATCAGTGAACTTCTGAAAGCTGAGCCCAAGGCCCTTTCCTATCAGCCAGCTCCCCTGCTGCTGGTGGCCCCCGCTCTCCTGGATTGTTCCTTTTGCCAGCAGCTGAGCACAGCCCCTGTAAGGAACCTCTGGGAGAGACTGCCTAGGGGCAGGGGTCTGTGTGGGGAGGCAAAGATATCAAGGGCTCCCCTGAGTTTCCTGCCTAGCGTTTTTTTAGACAAAAGGGGTGAAAGTAGGAAAGACCAAGGTGTGGTGTGGGGTACTCCAGGCTTACAGACTCTGACTAAACGGCCTTTGTGACTTCATAAGTGCCGACATCCGGACTCCCATTCCCTGAGCTGCTTCACAGAGTGAAACTGAGATCAGAGGGGATAGGGACTTCCCTAAAGTCACACAGCAGCTAAGGCAGGAGAGAGACACCCCACCCCACCATTCTAGCTCCCACTGCTAGGGGTATCCATTGCTGAGTGAATGCTGCCTTGAGGAAGAGCCTGAAATCCATCTGGTCCCTCATGTAGGTACATGCTCTAGGTGGCTACAGACTTGGCTGTGGGGAGTCTTGTGAGGACAGACCCTGGCAAAGCTTCAACTGCTGGAAGCCAGGCAGGCTGAGCTCAGCTCATGGGGAGACTGTCCTAGAAGCAAGGGTTTGGGTGTGCCAGGCCAAGTTCAGCTTGTGACTTCCAGTTTTGTAACTTGGTGATATTGTCCACCTCTTTCCTTCTCAGTCCAGTTGCCATGATTTCTGCCCAAATGAAAGGAAAGTTCCTGCCACCTCGTCAATGCAGGGTGAACGTGGCTGACAATTCCTAGTCATAGTCTGGTCACAAGAATAAGCCCCATGTCCCTGTGTTTTGCAATTGACTGAGCCGGTAGGTTTCTGTATTCTGAATACCACAGTTCTGATTTAGACTGAAAGGCTTAAAAAGCATCTGGCCTAGAACCTACTATCCCTTTGGATGTCACAGCACCCCCCCCCCCGTTTGATTGACAAAGACCATCAGAGCCTCCCCAGAGTCCACAAAACAAAAGAAAATGATCCGAAATCACTTACCTTGGGGCTGATCCTGTGGGTGCCGCTCCAGCTTGGAGCCTGGGGTTGCTGTCTGCCTGGAGTCCTCTTCACCTATGCTTTGTGGTCTGGGCACATTTCTTCTCTCTGTGGGCTTCCTCAGGATAGCGTCAATGGAGAAGGACAGGCCCAGCTTCTCTGGGGCCTCACTGTACCCTGAACTCTCCTTCTCCATGTCCCTGGGGATCATAGGGCCTGCCATGGCCTGCCCTGAAGCCTGCTGGGAGGGACACTCTGTGTGTGCCCAGGGTGATGCCAGCAGAGGGTGGTGTAGTTTCTTCCTGGAGTTTCTGGGCACCCAGAGGGCACACGGTGGTAGTGATCAAGGATCCCGATGCTGGGTGATTCAGGCACAACTCCTTGGACACAGGGACTTCCATGGACCTCGTACACCTCCAAGACCAGGAGGTGGCTTCCAGCGGAAGAGCTGGCAGGGGCTTGTCCTGTGTGCACAGGACAGAGGTTCGGTTTTCCAGTTCTTGGAAGTGATGTCTTTTCCAGTCACCAGCCAAGGCAAGGATCCTGGAGATCAGTGCTCAAGGGCAACAGAAACAAAGAGAAAACCAACAGAGCTGGTGGCATGAGGAGCCTGCACGCACCTTTGTCTCCTCTCTGACTTGTGTCCCCTTGCTGCTGGCCCCAGATCGACCTTGAGAGGCTGGGGTGCCACCTATGGGTCCTCGGTGGCCAAGTGAGCCCTGAGCTTCCCTGTGGCTTGAGGGGTCTTCTCAGCTGCTCCCTGGACTCCCACACTTCAGCTTCCAGTCTCCAGAATGAGACTTCCAGGGCACCCGTGCCTCCGTAGACCTTCAGGAAGGGTGACGCTGGGTCACTGCCAGGCCCGGGCTTTCTTTCACAGAGCGCAGACCCGTGTCTCGTGGCTGTTGTTGGCTTTAGTCTACTCTCTCCCTGATCTCCAATCGCAAAATACACTCTTTAGCCACCCGCCCCTCCTCCCTTTGGGTCATTTCTGCTCTTCCCTGCTTGGTCACCCTTCACCTGTCTCTGAGACAGCCCCAAAGATTCTTTGTCGGTCTAATAAACCCCAGGCTCGGAGCTGACTGTCACTGCTCTATCTTGCCAGGAATTCTCCTCAAAGGACTGTGTGTAACCGAGGAGGGCGGGCTGATAAGAGAAGCAAGTCCCCACCCCAGGAGATGGGATGGCAGTCAGGTGCCGGAGCAGAGAGCAGAGGGAGGCAGCCGGGATTGGAGAATAGATACAGGATGCCGCGCAGAGGCGTGGAGCTGGAGAAAAGGCCAGGAGGAACAGAAGAGCGGAAGGTGGGGGCAGGGTGGCCAGGCCCAGTAGAGTGTGTTTACACAGTTAGGGTTAGGAGAGTTTATGGGGCTTGCAGAGGCTTAGAAGTTGAACCAGGGTGTGGTCGGCCAGGGTCAGCCTTGGGTGACCTCACAGATGTGTGCTCCTTGGCTTGCAAATGTTAAGAGCATGCAAGGTATTCCAAAACTCATATGGGGCCCATGGAGAAACTGAGGCTCAGACAAAGGGGTACAGGAAAGGACTTAAATAATCCCCTGGGAAGTTTCAGGCTGCTACAACCCAAAGAGTGACTGGTGCCCTTCCGACTGTGAATGTGAGTTTCAGGGTTAGAATGGAGACCTCTTCACACACCTCTTCAGTTGGGCAGGCCTGGACCCTGCTCCCTGAAGAAGAGCTGGAAGAGGGGAACTTCTCTGAGATGAGGAACTGGCCAAGCGGTCTTGGTTTAGCTGGGAGAGATGAGGTTCTGCAGTGGCCTAGGGATCACTCTTGGCAGTCTGATGAAGCAGGGATTTTTCTGACTGGAGCCACCATCTTCCAATCGTGGGCTCTAAGGGAGGGGTGAGAGCGAAGTGGAGAGTGTTCGTAAGTCAGAGGCATACGTGGTTTATGGGATGGATGTCTGCTACTACTCTGTGGCCAGCTGAGTCATGTGACTGCTCCCCTGCCGATCCCAGCGCTTTCCTCAGAGCCAGAAGAAAATTCACACAGACAGCAACCAGTCCAGTGCTCTTTTCTGTTTAGTTTCTGAGTTTGAAAATTTGAATGGCATTTTACTTCTCTCTCCTCATCTTGACTTCAGGTTAATATTTCACACGGGTCAAGTAAAGGATGTGTAGGAGTCGTGTGTTAATGGACGATTTGCTTACTTGAAAGTTAAATTTATGCACTTAATCTAGTTAAGCCACAGAAGCATAGTGTAATATACACTTCCATTGTTTTATTCTGGACTGTATAAGTAAGTGTTGGGAACACCCACAGGCTGAGTCTCCAGTTATTGCCTATTACAGAGCTCAGGAAGTAATTGCCACCAGCAAAACCCGGAAGCTGCCTCCAAATTCAGCACTTCTGGTTTCAAGGAAGTGGTGATCATTTCTTTGAGACTATGCTTTTAAAGAGCTACTTAACTGTCACATAAAAATCAGTCAATAATCAATCAGTCAATCAGTCAATCAATCAATCAATCAGCCAGTCAGTCCATCTCGGTGACATGGAGAAGGCTCAGTGTTAAGTGCACTTGCTGCTTTTGCAGAGGATCTGAGTTTGGTTTCCAGTACCCACATGGTAACCAGGCTAACCATGTTTGTAACTTTACACCCCGCCCCCGGGAGCAGATGCCCTCTTCTGGCCTCTGCCAGCACTGCACCCGTGTGGTACCCATCCATACATGCAAGCACTCATCACACACATTGCAAAAATCAGAATTATAAAATAGACACCCTACCATTCACAAATCAAACAGTGTTTGTGGTTGGAGAGTTCATAACTCGTGTCTGAAGATGCATTTCTTTCCTTCTATTTCATAATTAAAACATTGCCTTGGAAGCCACTGGTCAGTACATGTGTATGCAGAACATGTGTATTTGTATTAATGAGAAATTTTGTAGTGTTCGGTTTAAACTAGATCTAACAAATTAGTCATGTAAATGTTTCAGCCAACTCAACAGGAAGTGCATCTTCTAATTTTCTTTTTTACTTTGAATAAAGTTATACCCACTTTATTTTTGGTATTCAAAAGTTTTTTTTTTTTTAAAAAGTGGAGACAAACCAAATAGGTCAAGCAGTGTGTACGTTCAGAGGTCTGGTGGTGTTTGCACTTTGAAAAGAAACAACCTCCTGGCGATTGCCTCAGGCTCTGATGGGAATGCTTACAGGGACTGGGAACAAAGACCATGAGCAGCAAGTCCAGAGCACGGGTTCACTCTGAAGGTGGGCAGTGGATGGGCGCTCTTTGAAGACTCGTAAGGGTAGACAGGCTCCATCCAAGTGAAGTGAGACTTCAAATAAGACTTCTGGGGAAAAATTTCTTTTTGTACAAAAAGATCTAGGTGGATAGGGAGGGGCTCAGTGGTCAGAGCACTCACTGCCCCAATGCAAGGGTCAGAGCCCAGATCCCCAGATGGCCTAGAAATGCTGCGTGGCTGGGGCTGTCCACTCATGATGCCAGCCTTGGAAGGCAGAGGCAGGACATCCTCGGAGCAAGCTGCCTAGCAAGACTAAACATGTCGGTGGGCTGACTCCTCCTCAGGAGGTGGGAGAGCCTTCAAGGACAAGCCATCATGTTCAGGCTTCCACGTGCTCATCTCTGTGCAACCCTCCACAGCGTGCCCCACACGGACCGAAGGCGTGTGTGTGTGTGTGTGTGTGTGTGTGTGTGTGTGTGTGTGTGTGTGTATGTGTGTGTGTGTGTGTGTGTGCACGTATCAATAAAAAACCAAACAAATGGGAAAGAGTCTGTTCAGCAATGCAGTACCTACTATACAGTGATCCAGAACAAAAGAACTCTCAGAAAGAAAACAAAATTTAACAGTCTCTGAATTTACTTAGTCAATAGTCCAACGGTCTCCTTTTTGATATAACACAGTACAGTACAGTACAGTACAAGGACAGAGGCCCACTGAAGCTGCTCTAGCACTGATTGGCATCTTGCCAAAGGTAGTCAGTGGTGAAGGGAGGGCTTCCAGCTTATGAGTAGCCGAGGTAACAAGAGAGAGAGAGAGAGAAAGACAGAGGGGAAGGTGCATGTTCTTTGGGCCAGGCCTGAACACTCACTGTTCTCTTTAATTCACCTGATAGCCACAACAGTTAGGTGTCATTGAGACCGTTTTCACAGTGAGGAGAGACGCCGAGAGAGAAGGAGTACAGGAAGTGTAGCTGCACAGCTAACCAGGAAAAAGGATTGGTCTAACCCTGGCTCTAAGCCGTGTCCCTCACTTGGCTGTCATCCTTAGTCTCCAGGCTGAAGCTCTTATTTGTCAGCGATGGAACTGAGAGAAGGAGACATAAGAGGCCATTGTGGTCATACCTGTTGGCTCAGTTCCTTCTTTGAATTCCCCTGGTTTTGCCCTTTACAGAGTGAGCATGGCTCATGGACAGCCTAATAAAATACTCTTTTCATGCTAGGTGTGGTGGCGCACACCTTTAATCTCAGCACTTGGGAGGCAGGAGCAGGTAGATCCCTGTGTGTTTGAGGTCTGCCTGGTCTACATAGTGAGTTCCAGGATAGCCAGGACTGCAAATAGACTCTGTCTCCAAAAACCAGAAGTCAAAAGCCAAACCAAACCAACAAAACCAAAACTGAAAGAAAAGACCCTTTTTGTGTGGGTGTGTGCGTGCGTGCATGCGTGCGTGCGTACGTGTGTGTGTGTGTGTGTGTGTGTGTGTGTGTGTGTGTGTGTGTGTGTTCCATGTCCGGTGGTTTTCAGACAGGGTCTTTCATTGAACCTGGAGCTCACTGATTTGACCAGATTGGCAAACCAACAGGTCTCTTGTCCCTGCCTCCACAGTGTGGGGACTACAAACACGTACCTCCAGCTTTTAACATGGCTGCTGGGGATCTGAACTCAGGCCTCCATGCTTACAGGGCAAGCATTTTGTCAACTGAACTATCCTATTAGCCTCAGTAAAATGCCTTTCTATGGTGTGGACCTGGATGCTGGGTCTCCTTCCAAGCCACCTCTCGAATGCCAAGCAGTCCTGACCTCTGGGTTGGGAATCTTTTATCATTCACATGTATAAGTATATTGGCTATCTCCACCCGAGTGTCTACCACAGGCCCAAAGCTGGGCAGCTATAGGACCAAAAAATGCCATCACTCTTCAGTGTACCTCCCTCTGATTTCTTTTTAATTGACAGGAGTAAGAAGTTATATGGCAAACTCAAGTCCAAATGGATCAAAGACTTCAATATAAATCCATCCACACTGAACGTCATAGAAGAGAAAGTGGGAAATACACTTGAATGCATAGGCACAGGAGACCACTTCCTAAATAGAACACCAGTAGCACAGACTCTGAGAGCAACAATTAATAAATGGGACCTCCTGAAACCGAGAAGCTTCTGTAAAGCAAAGAGCATGGTCAACAAGTCAAAACGGCTCCCTACAGAATGGGAAATGATATTCACCAACTCCACATCTGACAGAGGGATGATCTCCAAAATATACAAAGAACTCAAGAAACTAGACATTAAACTACCAAATAATCCAATTAAAATCTCAAATGGCAGAAAGGCACTTAAGGAAATGCTCAATATCCTTAGTCTTCAGGAAAATGCAAATCAAAATAACTCTGAGCCATCTTACACTGATCAGAATAGCTAAGATCAAAAACACCAATACAGCTTATGCTGGAGAGGATCGGGAGGAAGGGGAGCACTCCTCCATTGCTGGTGGGAGTGCAAACTTGTACAGCCACTGTGAAAATCTGATGGGGTATGCCCTTCTGTATATATGTTTCTCTTATTGTTTGATGAATAAAACACTGATTGGCCAGGAGCCAGGTGGGAAGTGTAGGTGGGCCTACCAGATGAGGAGAATTCTGGGCAGAGAGAGAGAAAAGCCTTGAGAGAGATGTCATGCAGCTGTTGAGAAGATAGGATGCAGTATGTTCTCTGGTAAGATAAGACCAGGTAGAACTACATAGATTAGTAATTATGGGTTAATAATTAAAGACAGCTAGCCAATAAAAAGCCCGAGCCATTAGCTAAATAGTTTTTAATTAATAAATGCATCAGTGCATTTATTTGGGGCTGAAGGGTTGCGGGACCAGGCCGAACAGAAAAACTCCATCACAGAAATCAGTATGGTGATTTTTCAGAAAATTAGGAATCAATCTACCTCAAGACTCTGCAATATCACTGTTGGGCATATACCCAAAGGAGGTACATTC